TAGGATCTTGTTTTTGTTTGTATATAATATGTAATCAAACAACATATGTTTATTTCAGTATGTATAGTTTTAGAGAAAAAATCTGAGATATGTTCACCAAATGAACATTTCTAGGGAGTGAAATTCTGAGTGATTGTAATTTTTTCCTTTTTGCTTATTTACATCTAAAAACTTTTCTTCAAATGTGATTTACTTGTATAAAGATAAAATTAAAAAAAAAAAAAGACATTTCGAGCCAGAATCAGTAGCTTTGATAACTCCTTGGGCGTGGAGAAAGAGAGAAAGGTAACTGTCAAAAGGGACTTGGGATTATGTTAGTGGTGGGGCACCACGGATGCAGAGAGGAGCGGGAGAAGATCCCAAGTCAAGGCCGGACACACTGAGTTGGAGGTAGAAATGTCCGACCGAAGTTGGAAATGTGGTTCTGGAACAAAAGAGTGTCACAGCTGCCGAGACAAACGTGCAGTGAAGAGGTCCTTGCATCTCCAGTGAGGAGGTTGTTGATTGCCTCTGAGAGCCAGTGGGGCAGAGAGGAAGGTCAGAGTGCGGCAGGATAGAGGGTAAATGGGTGACGAGGAAGGAAAAGCAGCAGATGTGGATACTCCTTCCACGATGTCGGTGGAGGAAGCAAGTGAGCATTTTAGGGTAGGAGACAGAGTAGGTCTGGTGACAGAGATTTAAAAATCTTCAACATAAAATTTAAAAAAGCAGAGGGGCAGGAGTTAATCAATCAAACCAATCAGCAAAGTATGTAGAACGAGAGAAGAAGTGTGCCCGGCCTGGACCTCAGTGAATAAGCATAGTTTGGGTATAAAATTCTAGATTGTCAGTTTTCCTCTCAGAGCTTTGAAGATATAATTTTTGCTATTTCCCATCATTTCTAACAAGAAGTAAGCTGTCAGTCTAGATAACCTGTCTTTTCTCTCTGGGGCTTTTAAGATTTCCTTCTGTCTTTCTTTTTTCTTTGTATTTATCTTTTTGGGGGGGTGCTTAAATTTCTGAAGTCAGAGGATCCACAACTTTCAGCAGTTCTAGAACACTCACAGGTGTCCTCATTCCACAGCCTCTTCGCTTTTTCTCTTCTGTCCCGTAATGCCGATCTGCCATGTGCTACCCCCTCTAACTACCCACCGATCCTCTTAACCTCTTTTCTGTTTTTTTTTAATCTCTTTGTCTTTTTATGATGTGCCTTGATCTAATTTCTTTATCTTTCAGTTTATCCTTTCTCACTTTTAATTTATTCTTAGCCAGATAATACACAGAGTTTTTAAATTTTATTTTTAAGTAATCTCTACACCCAACATGGGGCTCGAATTTACAATCCCAAGGTCAAGAGTCACATGCACCACCAACTGAGCCAGCCAGGCACCGCGACACACACAGTTTTAAAAGCCAAGGAATTACATAAGACTTGTGACAAAGAATGGTAGTTCCCTGACAATTGTCCCTTATTTTCTGATCTCCAGGAATTTTCAGCTCTTTAAACAGAAACTTTTAATATTTGTCTCCCCATAGGTAAAAATGCCTGTTTTGCGAACTTCTTGGCTTTTCAGTTTTGGCATAATCTCTTGTTTTTGTACCATGGAAGATGTGGGTTTGGCTCTGTTTCCACACACACACACACACACACACACAAACACACACACACAACACACACACATATTTCCCACACCCAGACATCAGATATATGTGGTTAGAACAGTAGTGTTTATATTTCACAACTAGGAAAACACTACTCACTGCTGGACCTTGATTAATTTCCTTTCCTGCACGTCTTCATCTTTTCCCTTGAGTTAATAGTTGGTACTCAGCTTTCTACGTACAGGACAATAATTTAACCCTAAACTGCCCTCTGGGTGTATAGCTCTCTTCCCATCATGCTCAGACCTGTTACATACTCGGCTGTGTGGTCGGAGGGAGGCTTTCTCACAGCCATTTGCCTGCCCCGCTCTGGACGGTGTGGCTTCCAGGCCCATCGACAGCTCTGACCTTGGACTCTCCCTCTGCGACCACACCAAGGGCTTCCTTTGCTTCCTTCTCAAGTTTGATTCCCTGGTTCCTGGATCCCGTTTGTCTCCTTCATCTGACTCACTGCATCATTTGGTACAGCACATCCTCCAGGAGCGTCCTGAGAGAGGGTGCACGGAGATCTTCTTTCCAGAACCCCCAGGTCTAAACCTGCCAGAGTCTGTCCTCACACCTAGACGATTATTTTGGATTGGATAGTTGGATTTCCAATCTCAGTTCAACTTCAAATGTTGAATTTTTCTTCAGAATTATGAAGGTTTTCTGCATTGTCTTCTGGTGTCCAGTGCTGCTATCGAAATTTTGACGTTATTCTTGCTCTTGCTCTTGCTCCTTGTGTGAAACCTGTTTTATTATTTCTGGAGCCTCATAGGATCCTCTCTTTGTTCCCTGGGCTTGGAAACTGGACAGTGAAGTCTCGCTTTGGGACTCTCTCACCTCTTGGCAGCCCTTTAACTCTGCAAACAAGTGCCCGTTAGTTCTGAGAAATGTTCTTAAATTATCTTCTGTCCTTCGTTCTCAAAATTCTATCTTTCTAGACCTCTAATTATGTAAATTTTGAACTTAGAAAATGAATCCTATGTTTTTCTTTCCCCTATTGTTTTTCTTTCCCTTTTTGGGGTGGGGCAGGGGTCCTAGTTCTCACATTTTCTGTTAAGATAATCCTCTCTGTGATTACTTTTTTATTTTCCAGAACATCATTTTTATACTGTGTTTTTTAAAGTATCATTTTCTTGTTTCTTAATCTGTCCAAGGCTGTTGGTCCCCCTACTCCCACCAGTTTCCTTACCCTGGACAGTCGGTTTCTTTAGGCCTCTTTCCTGTCAGAAGGTTTCCTGAAATGTCTGCGGATCTCTGGCTGTCTCTCCACTCACATTTAAGAATGAGGCATAAGCTGCCTGGGGACTTGGTGGTGATGACTAAACCATCTACTGGGAAGCCTCCCTGTGGGAGTCTTTATCTCTGTATTCTCCCTTGAGCTGGTCGGCGTCCCCAGAGAAGGCTTTTCCAATGTGGTGCTGGGATTCTAGGGGCCAAGTAGAGGAAACCTGTGGGTCTCAACAATCACCTTTCCTTCTTTGGTTCATTGTGATAAGCCCGCCCTCGATTGCTTTGCCCCAGACAGTGATTTCAGTCTCTTGCCACAGTGGTTGGTGGAGAGGAGGTGCTGGAAAGGGGAGGAGCCTGGGGGCTCACTCCCTCCTAATTAGAATTTCAACCAATTCTCTTCTCATCCCACACTCCTGCGCTCCACTCCAGAGCAGCCTGGGACCACTGAGATCAAAGTCTTCAGAGCCGCTTCCTCGCTCTGCTGCCCAGGGTTCAGGGTTCTTCAGTCAGCTATCCAGAACTCTCTCCCCTCTGCTTTCCAGCCTCTGAACCTCTGTCATCTCTTCCCACTTCTGTCCACCCCAGTGGTCAGGAAGCCTTAGGAGACATGCTCATATTTCCCCTGGGCTTCAGAGAGGGATGTATCTCCACTCCTTCTATGAAGTAGATTTGTGGGGAGGTTGCCTTTCAAGGATCCATACTCTATGTAGGCGGAAGGGCGATGTCTCTGGTGCAACTCCCACCTTTAGTAGCCCAGACTTTGTCTCCTGCATGAGCAGGCTCGGGGTCACTGGGGACCAGCAAATGCCCCAGGATGATGTTTGGCAGCCACAGAACTCTCCCCTCTGGGTTCACAGTTTCTTCTTTATTTCACCTCTGATAATCTCTTCTACTTTCCTCTTGGCTCGACATGCATTTTATAATATTATTTAAAAGAATTAAAACAATAAATACTAAAAGAATAATGTTTAGGAATTCTCTAACAGTAAGGTTTCTGCAAACATCCAGTCTACCATGTTGCCTGACATGGGCCCTCCTGGCATCACGCAGCACTGTGTAGGAGACACATCCATGTGATGTCCCTAGCTCCGCTGGGCGACCCCTTGTGACTGGTAGGTTAGATGCCACGACTTCCTTTTTATAGCTCAAGACGCTGGCTGACACATAACCTCTATCAGATAGCCTGGGGGCCTGGTGGCCGAGCTGATATCACAAACCTGGATTTGAAGCTCTCTTCAATGACTCATGCTCTCAGGAGGGAACAGCATCTTCTCCAGTGCCAAACGGGAGCTGTGGAGTGGCTGATGAACTCCCAAAACCTCTCTGGGGTGCAGGTTATAGGGAAGATATTGGGAGTCCTTGCCTCAATACTGAATTTTTACGTGAGTTGAGGACAGTGTCTTATCCCTGCCCATACTGAAAGCACGTAAGCCACAGGCCTCTAAATGCCTCTGCTGTACAGCCCAAGAGCAGGTGTCTTAACAGCCATAAGCACTGACGGTTCTTCAAGGAAAACCCATTCTGTCACCAGGTAATACCTTTATGACCTCCAGAATCCCAGGGCACAGTGGACACGTTCGGGGAGAGATTCTGCTAAAAGCTGTTCTGTAGAATCCGAATTCACAAACAACCCTTTTATTATAAGAGAGTATATGATAGCAGTCATTTCGTACGTGTGTTTCTTCCCCCATTCGTCTCTTCGTCCACACATTGACAGGGAGTGGAAGTAAGAGCAAACCCAAACCAAGTTCAGCCTCCAGGCCCCATCCGTTTTCACTCATAGTCAAGGTCTGGCCAAGAAGAGAGCTCCGCTTCAGGTGTGTGGGTGGATTGGGACCGGTGATGGCGGATGGCTTCTGCCTGCCAGCTGGGGGTGCTCCTGGGGGAGGGTCAGTGGGCACAGAGGGGCAGGAGGTGATGGAGAGCAATGGACAGTATTTTAACTGGTTTCTCTTTCTCCTCCGTTAGTCACTGGAGAGCATCATCCCAGGTGTTCTAGTTTTCATAAAAAAGGAGTCAGAATCATCTAAATAAAAGTTGTGCCGACCTGCAGCATGCTGGCAGGCTCTCTTCCTGCGCGTGTGCTCTTGTCGTCCGCTCACTGTGCCGCCCGCACCTTTGACACGCTGTGTTATGCTTCACAGGTACTGTGATTGCTTTGCCAGTGGGGACTTTTGCAACAACTGCAATTGTAATAATTGTTGTAACAATCTACATCACGAAATCCAACGGTTCAAGGCCATTAAGGTAACAATTTTTTCACTAAGTACATGCATTCTAAGAGTGTTTAAAAGAGCTTGAGATACGGGGCGCCTGGGGGGCTCAGTCGGGTAAGCATCTGACTCTTGGTTTCGGCTCAGCTCACGATCTCAGGGTCGTGAGATCGAGCCCCGTGTCAGGCTCTGCACTCAGCGGGGAGTCTGCTTGAGGTTCTCCCTCTCCCTCTGCCCCTCCCCCTGCTCATGCTTTCTCTCTCTCGCTCTTCTGCTTTCCCTCTATTTTTTTAAATTAACGTATAATGAATTATTTGTTTCAGGGGTACAGGTCTGTGATTCATCAGTCTTACACCACACCCAGCACTCACCACAACACACACCCTCCCCAATGTCCATCACCCAGCCACCCCGTCCCTCCCACCCCGCTCCACTCCAGCAACCCTCAGTTTGTTTCCTGAGATTAAGAGTCTCTTATGGTGTGTCTCCCTCTCTGGTTTCGTCTTGTTTCATTTTTTCCTCTCTTCCCCTAGGACCCTCTGTCTTGTTTCTCAAATTCCACGTATCAGTGAGATCATATGATAATTGTCTTCCTCTGATTGATTTATTTCGCTTAGCGTAATACCCTCTAGTTCCATCCACATCATTGCAAATGGCAAGATTTCATCCTTTCTGATGGCTGAGTAATATTCCATTGTACGTATATACCACGTCTTCTTTATCCAGTCATCTGTTGATGGACATCTGGGCTCTTTCCACAGTTTGGGTATTGTGGACGTTGCTGCTGATAACATTGGGGTGCAAATGCCCCTTCAGATCACTACATTTGTATCTTTGGGGTAAATACCCAGTAGTGCAATTGCTAGGTCGTAGGGTAGCTCTATTTTCAACTTTTTGAGGAAACTCTGTACTGTTTTCCAGAATGGCTGCACCAGCTTGCATTCCCATTTCTCTCTCTCTCTAAAAATAAATAAATCTTAAAAAAAAAAAACCACTTCAGATATTCACAAAACTATCTCCAGAGACTCCCAACCAATTTCAATATTGGGAAAACACAAAGTGTTGAGGAGTATATGATGAATAGGACTCTATTTCTGAAGGTGGAGTATTGACCCTTGACCAGAGCTGTCAGGAGTGTGGCAGCCAGAGAAAGATCTTTATTCTCCGCCGCGTGGGATGGCTTCAGCGGTGCAGCTCTGTTGGAAGGTTCTGATTTAAGAACGTACAAATATCCACTTTGTCTTGACATGGGGTTTAGAGATTTGGGTCTCATCGTGTAGCAGATAATCCTGAGCTTGTAGAGTGTCGTCTGAGAGGTGTAGAAAATCCTCTGGTCAGAGAATGGGGCGGAGGCTCTGAGCCATGACACGTGTCTAATCTCCGGGTAAGGGGAGAATCTGGACTTTCCTCAAGGGGCCAGCGGCAGCTCGGGCAGCCCCGTACCTGCTAAAGGCTACATGCAGGAGCTTGCACTTTTCACCCCTACCTGTAGGCGCGAAACATCATCAGAGGAGGGAGGACAGGTAGGTGTGGGGCTGCTAGCCTGCTCTGGGGGCATATTTGGTGCCCCCAGGTTATGAAAGGAAACCAAGGGCCTTCACATGTATAAACTTGAGACTGTCAGGCTGTGTCATGGGTTGGTCTGTTTTGTTTCTACAGTAATTTAATTCCCCTCTTGAATTATAGATAAATCACTTGAAAATATCTTACCCATTTTGATACGGCCAGAGCCATGGGACGAAAGAAAATTTTAATGCCTCTAAACATTAGTAGTGTAGGATTTTCTTTAGGATTAAAGGGTATTTTCTACAATTACAAGCATATAAAGTTTTCATTTAAAAGTGTTGGAATTTTCAAGCATTGCTGGTAGGAACATAAGCTGGTATAACTACTTGGGGAAATTGTTTGGCAATAGTTTTTTTTTTTTTTTTAATTTATTTATTAGGGAGAGAGAGAAAGCACAAGCAGGGGGAGTGGCAGGCAGAGGGAGAAGCAGGCTCCTCGCTGAGCAGGGAGCCCGATGTGGGACTCGATCCCAGGACCCTGATATCATGACCTGAGCCAAAGGCAGACACTTAACTGACTGAGCCACCCAGGCATCCCTGGCAATAGTTTCTAAAGCTGAACCTTTGTAGGTGCTGTGACCCAGCAGTTTCATTCCCAAAAACAGAAACAACAGAAATGAGTGTACGTGTCCACTGCAGATGCACACAGCGGCCCCAGCCTGGAAAGAACCCTGTGCCTGTCAGGGGTAGAGGTCTGATATACGGTGGAATACTACACACCGGTGAAGAAGAAAGCATGGCCACCAAGCGCTCCTCGCGGCTGAGTCTTGTGGGCGCCGTGCTGGTGAAGGCAGCGGGCATCACAGGGCACGCTGCAGGGGCCCAGAACAGTGGGAGCAGTCGAGTCAGCACGGTGGTTCCCACTGGGGCGTGTTGGTGGGGAGGGGTCCTGGGGAGCCTCTGGGGGCTGGACTACCCTCCAACCTGACGGGGGTGTAATCCCCCCCAGGGCACACGCATGCTCCATTTGTCACGCTCCCCCCTGTGGGTGGTGCCCTCCCTGTCCCTCGGCCTCCATGAGAATAAGAACATGCAAACACGGCAGGCTCGCTCCAGGCCGCTGCTGTCCGAAGGACCTTCTGCAGCGATGGGAGTTCTCGTGGCGTTGGGCACAGACCCTAGCTGTTTCCCTGTGTGGAGAGAGCAGAGCGCAGGTGCTCCTGTCACTTTCAGGTCACTCAAATTGCATTGAATCACTTTGTTAATAAAAATATATATGCATCTGTCTTTCTAGATAGATAGTAGAAAGATAGGCAAACAGAATTAAACAAGCCAGGATAAAAAGCTGAGCGTGTTGTGTGAGCAAGACGTGGCCCGGTGCTTGAGCCTCTGGGCTGGGCGTGAGCATGGGGACCGGGGGTCCTATCCATCACTGGCCCTTTATTACTTCACCTCTTGGCCTCGGTTTCTTCATCTGTGAGACAGAAACACCAATGGTATTCACCCCCCAAGGCTGCTGCGAGGCTTGAGGGAGAGAGTGCACCTAGATCACATGTGGGGCACGGCCAGTGTTTAACACATGCCAGCTGTTAGCAGAGCACCACAACCTCAGCTGTCCCAGGAAAAAGCACACAGAAATGCTGGAAAGGAAATAGGGCCACACAGACACGATCATTTTCTTTGCATCTTTAACATTCGGTTATTTTACAATAAATATGTGTGACTTTGAAACTCAGAAGAAAAAGAGCAATACCTTTAAGGGTGTAAATGAATTAAAATGAAACAAGAAGGGGACTCACTTTCTTAACTATGGAAGGACACACTGCCTCATGTGGCTCTTCCTTTTTTATTATTTAAATTCAGTTAATTACCATATAATTTATTACTGGTTTCAGAGGTACAATTCAGTGATTCATCACTTGCACGTAACACCCAGTGCTCAGTACATCTCCTGCCCTCCTTAATGCCCGTCACCCAGTTACCCAGCCCCCCACTTGCCCCCCTCCAGCAGCCCTCAGTGTGTTTCCTAGAGTGAAGAGTCTCTTATGGCTTGTCTCCCTCTCTGATTTCATTTTATCTTTCCCTCCCTTCCTCTATGATCCTCTGTTTTGTTTCTTACACTCCACATATGAGTGAGATCGTGTGATCATTGTCTTTCTCTGACTGACTTATTTCTCTAGCACAAGACCCTCTAGTTCCATTCATGTCGATGCACATGGTAAGATGTCATCCTTTTTGATGGTTGCGTAATATTTCGTTGTGGCCTGTGGCTCTTCCTAAAGTAACAGATGGATTAACACGGCCCACAAGTGAGATACCATTCATGGAACATTATTTTTACAGAATAAAGTACATTTTGATGGAGTTTTGTGTTTTCTGTCTTAGGCATGTCTTGAGAGAAACCCAGAAGCTTTCCAACCAAAAATCGGGAAAGGGAAGTCGGGAGACGTGAAGCCTCGACATAACAAAGGCTGTAACTGCCGGCGCTCAGGCTGCCTCAAGAATTACTGTGAGTGCTATGAGGTGAGCCACCGCCCCGGGGCCCTGGGCTCCGTGAGAGAAGCCGGGGCTCCTTCGCTTCGGGAGTCCGCCGTGAGCCTACCGTGAGCGCACAGCAGAGGCTCCCGCCACGTGGCCCTGCCCTCTCTGTGGCAGCAGGTCGGGGGCTCCCAGGGGTGCAGAGCCTTGTCCCCAGGCTGGTGCTCAGAGACCAGAGCGGACCGCGGGCCTTGGCTGCCGGGCAGAGCACACCGTGGGGCGCAGCAGTTCCTGGGCCTCGGTGTCTGCCTCTTTCTCCCGGACTGACTCATGGAGCGAGTGCAGGGGCTCTCGCTCTCTCCCTTCATCTTCCCGCTCCTTTCTTGGTGTTGCAGGAAGGCTGGGAGAGAGCAAAGAACCCGCAGGCCCCAGCAGTGAAGCAGCCGGGGAAGCCCTTCCTTGAAAGGCCCTCCTTTGGTTTGCTTGCGGTCTTTGGGGGGGTACCTGTGAATTTTATTTGTAAAAGGTTGTCCCAGATGGTCAGGCTTGAGAAGAGTCCTTGTGATTCCGGGGACACACGTTGGAAGCTCGGAGTAAGCAGGCCCAGCCATCCCCCAGCTAGGATTTTGAAAATGCGGTCAAAACTAGTGCAGAGGTACAGAATTCAAGCAGTGAGTGCCTCCCCCCCCCCCCCCCCGCCAGTGGAGCGGTTTCTCACAGCATCTCTGCCTGCTCTTCACCCACTTTCCAGAGGCTGAGCCTCTGCCAGGCAGCCGCCCACGTGAGGTGCAGATGTTCTGTAGTCTCTAGAGTAGACTAGAAATCCTGAAAAGCCTCTTGCTCAAAACACCCAGTGGGGCGTAAAACACAATAGATACCCTTTGATGCGCATCTCTGAGCTGAAGAGAAAGGAGGGGCACCCCTAGCAGTTGAGACAAAGAGGGAGCCATGGCTGTCAGCAGGGCCAGCTTCCATACGGCCCCGCGGCCGGCGTGAGCGACGGGGTGCGCCCCGGCTTGCCAGGCATGCTGCCTTGTGCCAAGAGGTCAAGTCCGCGCACAAGCAGGCAGCAAGGGCCTCCCCTGGGACAGCCACGCAAGGCCGGCCCTCGGCGGGTTTCAGAACCCCCTCAGCCGCACGTCCTCTGCAACAGTGGAGGCAGCAGGACACAGGCCTCGGAGGCGCTGTGGGCTCGGTCCCAGAGCACCCCCATAAAGCGAATACCGCATTCAAGCCGGTCCGGTGCCGGTATGCTTACACTGCACGATGGGGTGCAGTGCGTGAAGTCTAAAACACAACGCATGTACCTTGGTTAAAAATGCTGATCTTCCTCTGAGCTCTTAGTCGCCATCACTGGGCACAGCTCACCGGAGCAAATATAAGGATCATGAAAAGTTTGAAATATTGAGAGTATTACCAAAATGAGACACAGAGACACGAAGCGAGCAAAGGCCATTGGAAAACCTGTGTCGACAGGCTTGTTGGACGCAGGGTGGCCATAAACCCCCCATGTGCGAAAACGCAGTATCTGCGAAGCGCAGTGAGGGGGGTTGCGCTGAGAGCTGTGGGCTGGGGCTCTGGGACCCACGTTCTAGTCAGGGGCAGCGCTCCGGCCCCCTCTCTCTGCTCGGGACTCACGCCCGCACTCACACGCCGGTCTTCCAAACCCCTCCCCGGGTTTGTGTGAAAATTGCAGATCACACACACACACACACACACACACACGTGCAAAGAGTTATATAAGGTCCAAATAGAATGTGTTGTTTTTTGATGAATTATAGGACAGTCTAATTTTATTGAAGCATTTTATGTTACCAGGCCAAAATTATGTGTTCTTCTATTTGCAAATGCATTGGTTGCAAAAATTATGAAGAAAGCCCAGAACGGAAAACCCTAATGAACATGCCCAACTATATGGAAATTGGAGGGTTTGAAAGCAACCATCATTTGTCACCAACTAAATTCTCAGGACTACCAAAATTCAGACAAGATAGGTAGGTACTGTGAACCAGCCCTCTGAAGAGGGGAAACAGGTTAATTTGAGGAGAGTTAGTCTATACGCTGGAAAGAAAGTGGGTGCGTCTATGAGGGGGTGCGAGGGATGGGGAGGGGGTGATGGCTCCCCTGCTGGACCAGCCCGAGATCCCACCCTGTGCTTCCGCGGGGCCCCCACTGCCGAGACCACTCTGTCCAGTCTGTCCTCACGGACAGAGTTACCCGCATTGTGTACAAGCAGACGGCCCCGCAGGGACGGCCGACAGGCAGCGAGGGCATGATCTCTAGACCGCGGGTACCTGACCCACTGCTTACCATGTGAGGTGACAGCCTGCCTACTGCGCCCCTTCTTAAAGGGGTGGTGGATCTCACACTAGGTGGATATCATCCCATTGAACTACGTTGAGGCCATGTTATAATCTCAAAGGTTGAGTGATAATTTTACTCTATATTGGACTAGATTTATCCATTTTAAAAAAAGTGCCTTTCAATTCGATGTCAGGGGTGATATCATGATAGAGTACCAGATATCATGTATTCACATAATTTTGAAAAGCCAAGTTCATGCTTATTTGGTCAGAGACATCAGAAGTCCTCATCACTGTGAGCTGCCGAGGTCTTTATCAGTAAAAATTGACCAAACACGGCTTCGTGGTTCGTGAAAGGCTGAGCAAAGATATTCTCTCCCGGCTCGGGGACACGGTGTGTCCCACCGAATGTGACGGAGGCTCTGTATGTTGGAGTCTGGCCTCAAAATGTCAGGACTCTTCCTGACCTAAGGGCTGCCCTGTTTCTTCATCTTCAACAAAAGTCATTGTGTGTTGTCTGCATAGACAGATTTTAACCAATCCCAATTCCTATGTCTGTTTTCATCAACCAGCACTTGTCAGTACTTAAGGAAGTTTTCCTAAATTTCTGCAGTTTGAGCACTGTGTGGGCGGCCGTCTAGCAAAGCTTGCCCCGCGAGCTCAGTGGGGTATGGCCGGTCTTGTACGAAGGGTACTGCTGACTTTCAAAACCTCGTCCAGGGCTCCAACGGGCACTCGGAGGGGAGGCCGTGCCGATAGTGCTCCTCCAAGGGGGCGAGTCCTCAGAGCCATTGGCATCCTGGAGCTTCAGGTGCCCCTGGGGGACGTGGGGCTTCCCTGAGCGCACGCATTCTGCACAGAGCTGGGAGCAGGCTGCATGGCGCATCTCTAGGGCCTCGCCTTATCTGAGATCCCTGCCTCTACCCCTGCCCAGCCCCCCGGGCTGGACGCTGTCGCCCCGGTGCCTCTGAATGTTACGGTGGATCTACTTCGGAGACTCTTTAGAATCTGCCATGAGAGGGGAGTCAAGAAGCAGACAGGTTGCCTCTAAAAGCAATGCTGCATATTGTCAGGGTTTCCAATATTGGGAAGATAACAGTAGATTTTACTGGGGACATTCTTCAAAATACCCTGATGAGGACGTCCCCTCGAATCTATAAGGTATTTAAAATGTGGTGCCAAGGACGGTGGCCTGTAACTGCTCTGTTTCTGCCAGGCGCTCTTCCTCGTGCATCTCCTGGGAGGTGGTGGAGGCCACATGCGCCTGCCTGCTGGCCCGGGGCGAACAGGCCGAGAAGGAGCGCTGCTCGGAGTGCTTGGCGGAGCAGGTGATCTTGGAGGAATTCGGGAGGTGCCTGTCACAGATTCTCCGTATTGAGTTTAAATCCAAAGGGTTGAAAATTGAGTAGAGTTACCGTGTAGTGAAGTCAGAATGCACATAGATTTTGTTTCAATATTCTGAGGGAAAGAAATCTGTAGTTTAGAAAGGTTGTTTGAGGAACACAAGGCCGGGTCTGCGTCCCCGGCTATGTCCCTAAGGTCGGGCTTTCCCTCTGCATCAGGGTGCCGGGGGATTTACTCAGAGCGGGTGAGGGTCTTGGCGATCACAACCCCCCTTTTGGAGGAAGTGCAGGGCACAACGAACCATTGCTGTCTGGCCCTGGGGAGAGAGCGTGGAGCCCTGTGACCCTGGGAGAACCGTCTGCACACACGCACCGTAGTGGAGGGTGTGAGTGGGCTCTGGAGGAATAACAGTCCATCCCTACTGACTTCACCCTGTCTTGGAAATTTTCCTCTGGAGGCTCCTCTGCCTAAAAAGCCATAATGATTTTTCACTAAAATGATTTTAAAAGAAATTCTCCAGATGGCTGCTAACATACAACTTAAAATCTCCAGAGAAGTACCGAATACCTGGAGGAATTCCCAAGTGTAAACGTTTTCCCAGAGTCACACAAATTCTCCGTCTCCCCTAGGGCCACTGGGATACACAGGCAGCCAGCTCGTGGTTATGACTGAAAATGATCTAGTTTCTTATGTGTTTTCATTTGAATGTGGAAAAGCTCTATTGTCCAATTAAGTTCTCCCTAATTATTGTTCTAATATTATTATTATTTGTTAAAATATGGTTAAAATAACTAGTTTGCAGAAACCAGCAGGTAAGATTAGTTATTAAGTTGACTCTCTTTTGGTTCTATTGGAAAAGCAAAGAGGATTAAAAATTTTAAATGTCTTCCATTGTCGTAATTAACTTAGTAACTGAAAACATATTCGTCATGTTTCTGTGTTTATGAATAGCCTTGGCCCCTTAGAGACCGTTTAGAAAGCTCACTTGCGAGCACAGCAGCATGGAGCCCAGTGGCCGCGGGCATTTCTCAGAGCTGTATTTGGAACAGCAAGTTCCGATGGGGAACCATGGAGGGGCAGAAAAATACTTAATTCTTCACCATTTCAATCCCCCTTTGGCTCCTTCGGATGGAGATATGGGGTGGCAAGCCAGAGGCAGAGACCAGCACTGGGTGGTGGTGGGGCTCTGCCCAGTCTGGGTGCCCCATTGCCGGGGCGCTTCCAGTCCCATGTGCACCTGCTGGAGGAGCCCCTTCCACATCACCCTTGGGGCTGGGAGGGTCCTGAAATAGGGCTTCATGACCCCTTCCTGGGGGGCGGCCTTCCCTCTGTGTCTCTCCTGAGTGCTGCCAATGGTCTGCAGACCACACAGGTAACTTAAAATTTTCTAGGAGCCACATTTTAAAAAGCGAAAGGAGGGCGCCTGGGTGGCTCAGATGGTTAAGCGTCTGCCTTCGGCTCAGGTCATGATCCCAGGGTCCTGGGATCAAGTCCCGCATCGGGCTCCCTGCTTGGTGGGGAACCTGCTTCTCCCTCTGCTTCTCTCTCTCTCTCTCTCTCCCTCTCTCTCTCCCTCTGTCTCTCATGAATAAATAAATAAAATCTTAAAAAAAAAAAGCGAAAGGAGTAGGTGAAATTTATTTTAATTATCCTTTATCTACTGTGATTTCAACATGTAATCAAAATAAAAATGAGATATTTCGCATTCTTTTGTATGTACCAAATCTTTGGAATCCAGCATGCGTTTTACACTCACATACGCACACCAGGTATGTTGCAGGGGCTCAGGAGCCACAAGGCACAGGTGTGGAGGGGGGCAAAGGGAACCCCGTTCTCCAGAACTATTCTGAGCCAAGAGCTGCCCCGAAAGGCCCTGAAACCAGTGTGACCCACCTGCAGAGCCCGGAGAATGGCCTGGCGAAGGAGGAAGGTGAGCACCCGCCCTGGGGTCGGGGACCCGGCCTGACCCAGGAGCTGCCTGGAGCCCAGGTTCATGTGGGGCGAGGGACCTATGGTGTGGGGCCAAGAGACTTGGGCTGCAGCCAGGGATACTGAGCTGAAACCTGAACATTAGGGAAAGGGCACGACCCCTGGAGAGTTTCTCGCCAGGGAGAATTTAGTAAGCCCATACTTTTAGAAAATTTAGGCTTTTAGAAAATTCAGTGTGAGAAGTGAAAGCAAAGTAGAGCTGTGTATCAAGCCAGTGTAATGCCCAGAAGTGACAGCTACGTAGGATGACGAAAAAGATATAGAATTGTCTCTTTTGTTGCTGGTAAAGAGCCAATGCCATTTTAAAACTATATAAAAATAAACATGGCATGTCTTTACTGCGAGTCTATCTGCTGGGTTTTCGGTGGGGGGGTTGGTTTTGTTTTTCCCCAAATGCAGCTTAGCTTAAACCTTGCCTTTTCAAGAATCTGAGAAAAAGTCATAGCAAATGACATGCTGAAAGAAAGCTGTTTCTCCCCTCCGAACACTTTGACACCACACATGTGGCATTTCCCCTCCACCAATCAATTTTCCATTTCTTTTTTTTCTTTTTTAAAGATTTTTATTTATTTATTGAGAGAGAGAGAGAATGGTAGAGAGAGAGCATGAGAGGCAGGAAGGTCAGAGGGAGAAGCAGACTCCCCGCCGAGCAGGGAGCCCGATGCGGGACTCGATCCTGGGACTCCAGGATCATGACCTGAGCCGAAGGCAGTCGCTTAACCAACTGAGCCACCCAGGCACCCTCAATTTTCCATTTCTCTGGACAACAACTGGGTGTCCTGTTAGTACTCCATTCAATTCTGACACTAACTGCCTGGAGTTAGTGTCGGATTATCCAGGTGAAGGGCTCAGTCCCACCAGACTGCCCCCAACCTCAGAGGCCAGTTGCAGTACTGGGTCCCCAGGTGAACCCGCACACTTCTGTGTGACTTGGCTGCAACTGGAGGTTCCCAGGACCCCTGCTTCAGGTCTGAGAATTTGCTATAACTGCTCACAGAACTCAGGGAAACACTTAACTTACTATTACCAATTTATTATAAAGGATATTAAAGGATAATAGGAACAGCCAGGTGAAGAAGTGCACAGGGCAAGGTTTGGGACGCACTCTGTCCCTGGGAAGCTGGGGGCCCCCACCGTCCTGGCAGGGGGCAGTCACCAACCCAGAGACTCTGAACCCTGTATTGTTGGGGTTTGTATGGAGGTGTCCTGTCATAGGCATAATCAAGTATCAACTGTCTCCAGCCCCTCTCCGCTCCCTGGATCCTGTGGCTGGGTCTTTCTGGTGACCAGCCCCCAGCCAGGAGCCCACCCAGAGTCACCTCATTAGAACAAAAGACACTCCAGCCAAGAAATTACAAGGGTTTTAGGAGCTCTGTCAGGAACAAGTGCAGAGACCAAATACATATTTCTAGGTTATACATGCTGAAATTTTCTCAGTTAACCATGAGCTTGTACACAATACAGAAAACATGGGAACCTATGAAACATCCTGAAGAGAGAATCTTCTCTGCCTGGAAAACATCAGCAGGAAGCTCTCTGTAGTCCTTCTCTTGGCTCAGAAGCTCTTCATCCCTTTACAAAACCCTACACTAATTACCTGAGGTTCTACCGAATTCCAGTAGGGATGCAGCTTAAAACCACAATAGACGAGTTATTGTATGAGCTAGGCTAGAATACTGGTTTAGCAAATGGAATATGGAAGTTTCTTATAAAGACGGTGCCCGGGGAATCACTTTGGGGAAAAGAAGAACCACTGGAGGGGAAGGGAGCTCTCCCTACAAAGGCCCTGGGTGCAGGTGGGCAGAGGTGAAGTGGGACACCAGCATCGTGCTGTTGGTGTTCTGGAGTTTGGCCCTTCCCTGGTAACCTATGATGTGGAGCATCTTTTCATGTGCTTGCTCGCCTTCTGTGTATCTTTTTTGGTGAAGTGTCTGTCCAGGTCTTTTGCCCATCTTTTAATTGGGTTGTTCATTTTCCTACTGCTGAGTTTTAAGAGTCCTTTGTATATTTTGGATAACAGTCCTTTATCAGATATGTATTTTGCAAATACTTTCTCTACAAGTGGCTTGTCTTCTCATTCTCTCACTAGTGGCTTTTGCAGAGCAGAAGTCTTAAATTTTAATGAAGTCCAGCTCATTCAGTTGTTCTTTTATGGATCATGACTTTGCTGTTTTATCTAAAAAGTCACTGCCATGTTCAAAGTCACCTAGAATTTCTATGTTATCTTATAGGAGCTTTATAGTGTTGCATTTTATATTTGTGTAGATGGCCTACTTTGAGTTAATTTTTGTGAAGTGTGTAAGCTCTGTGTCTGGATTCCTCTTTTTTTTTTTTTTTTTTGCATGTGTATGTCCAGCTGTTCAGCATTTCTTGAAAAAACTATTTTTGCGCCATTGTGCTGTCTTTGCTCCTTTGTCAAAGATCGGTTATAATAGTATTAATGTGAGTCTATTTCTGGGCTCTCTGTTCCATTCCACTGACCTATTTGTCTGTTCTTTTGCCAATACCACACTGTCCTGATTATAGCTTTGTGGTAAGTCTTAAAATCAGATAGTTGTCAGTCCTTCAACTTTGTTCTTTTTCTTCAATATTGTGTTGGGTATTCTAGGTCTTTTGCCTCTTCATATAAACTTTGGAATCTGTTTTTGGATGCCCACAAAATAACTTTAAGAGATTTTAATTGGAATTGAATTGATTCTATAGATCAAGTTGGGACATCTTGAAAATGGACATCTTGAAAATATTGAGTCTTCTTATCCATGAACATGGAAGATTTCTCCAATTACTTAGCTCTTCTTTGATTTCTGTCATCAGAGTTTGTAGTTTTCCCCATATAGGTCTTGTACAGATTTTGTTAGATTTGTACCTATGTATTTCATTTTGGGGGGTGCTAACATAAATGGTATATTTTTAATTTCAAACTTCAGTTGTTCATTGGTGTTATACAGGAAGCAATTAACTTTTTTTTTTAAGATTATTTGAGAGAGAGAGAGAGCAGGGGGGAGGAGCCAAGGGAGAGAGAGAATCTCCAGCAGACTCCCCACTGAGTGTGGAGCCCAACTTGGGGCTTGCTCTC